GAGACAGCAGGGCTCCAAGCCCAAAGGAAGTGTGATCACCAGCAGAGACTGAGCCTGCCTGGAGGTAATCAGGCGGCAGCACACGCACCGGGAGCCACCCAGGGCCCTCCACAGGGTGACCCGTGGGCTCCCCGCTCTCCTCCAGCTCTTGCTGGTGTGAGATGCTGAGTGTTTCCACTAAGGAAACCCAGCCAAAAAAAAAGTGACTTTGGAACTCTCCTCTTGGTATCTGCCTGGATTGTGTCACCATTATGAAATTATGTAGCGTAAAGTGCTGTGAAAATAGCACCGGAAGTTTAATTCCTATTTCCAGGTGTCGATAAACACTTTAAATGAACAGCTCTTTGGCCCCAAATGGCTCCTGCCTGCTGCGTGGTTCTTAAATTACCCAATCAAGAAAAATCACATTTTCCACTTCTCTGCCTCCTGTCTTGGAACCCACTTTATTTTAAGGACACAAACTTGGCAAATCCCTAGCACTGGATGTGGCACAGAAGTTCTGACAAAGTCCTCGCCAGAGTCGGGGGAGGCACCAACTCTGAGTCACCCATCAACCCCAGTTTATCACCACGCCACGAGGCCAACGTGGCCTTGAGTTCAGTGAAGTCTGCATCTTCCTGTCTGGAATCTGAGACGTACTGTGGGGGCTCGGGCCATCCATTCTACTCTGGGGCCTCCGAGGTCCCCGCAGACCCACCGAGACAGTCCCTTAACTTTCCTGTGCAGCTGAGGTTTCTCGGGTTGTCCTGAGCTCAGACTGGAACCCACTCACTCCAAGAAGTGGGCTCTAGACAGAGGGACAAAGTCCCGAAAGAGCAAGGGGCCTGGGCTTGCCACTACTGAGCCTGACAGCTGCAGTGGCATGGCTGTTTTCTGGCCAGGACCCCACACATGGCAAGGCCATGTCCCCACACAAACTCCAAGAGGGCAAAATGCCATGAGCCCATGCACTGGCATGATGCCACCCCCAAAGTCTGGGGCAAAAGGTGACGGGGCAGGTGAGACGATGGGGCCCTGAGCACACCTAGCAGCAACCAAGCCCGTTTCTCGGCTCTGTCTAGAACCCCCTGCCACCCTGCAAGACCAAGGGATGAAGAAGGAACGACTGTCTCAAAGCAACAGATGCCCACCAACCAAAATTTCAAAGGCTTGTGATGAATAGGTGCCCTGCGCTATGCAGCTCAAGCTAGCCTTGAACTTGCAGTGATCCCCCCGTCTCAGCCTTCTGAGTGCTGGGCTTACAGCCATGTGCCACCTCTCTGGCTATCTCT